GTGTATATAATATTTTTTAATTTAAAAAAATACAAACCAGCTTTCTCCATCTGGATTCTCCTCAAACTTGAACTTCTTAATTTTTTTTTTTTTACCTACAACAATTCCTTAATTTACAAAATAGATCAAAAAAAAAAGGATCTCAATGAAATATTGTATTTGCAACAGTACAATAGACTATATATACATTCAATCAATTCATTTACCTGAATTGTTAATAATTTTTTCATAGTACGGTATTTTTTTAAAACATTCTCCTGGATAAAGACCACACACAATACGGTTTCTATCACGATAGAAGGTTGCTTCTTTTCTCCCTCGTTTGACCCTCCGATTGTAACACAGTCCTTGTTCTTGTTTTTCACGAGGAAAAATAAAATGAATCTTCCCATCTTGAATGGTCATCTCATCTCTGTGGACAATTAAACTCGTCGATAACTTTTCTCTAAATTTTGTTGAATAAAATTCTCCAACGTGTTCCGCCTATTGCATGAAGCAATAGGATGCTAACATACTGGTAGCACACGACAATAATTTCAATTAACATTTTTCATTCATACAATACCAACCATACCAACAAGAATTTAAAATTGTGTGAAATATAACAAATATAACAAATTCTTTATTCATCATATAAAAAGAAAAATAAATTAGATTCAAACATTTTAAAAATTATTTTCAAAATTACAATAACTCTCGACGAATATGGGTGTAAGAAATATGATTTCGAGCCACACTCGACGCAAGAGTTAACACAAAAAAGAGTACGATTCTTTCGATTTCGACGAACAGAGAAAGAAAGATCGAAAAATTTCTCCTCGTCTCGCCACTCAATCCACTTGATCCAACCGAAGTTGACAAAATTCAAATTCAAAAGTTCATATTTGCCTCACAGTCGCATTTTTGTGCGCGTGGAAAAAAACTCGTTCGTCCTCTCTCTCTCCCCCCTCCTTCCCCCTCTTCCTCCTCTCCTCTCCTCCACGGTCGTCGTTAAGTAGCACGCTCGTAAAATTTAATGATCCGCTGGGCTAGCGCGCGCGAATTCGAGAGGTCGATAAATAATAATAACAGGGGGTTGATAGAGTAACGTTCTTTTTCCTCTCTCTCTCTCTCTTTTTCTCTCTCTCGAATATCCGCGCCAAATAATGAAATCGTTCGCTCGATTCGAATAATAATGGCGGATGAAAATGGACGAGTTTTCCTTTTTTTTTTTTTTTTTGTTAATATTTTCGTTTCTATTCGAGAGGAGCCGCGTTATATCGTTCGTTCCTCTCTCGCGATGATACGCTACGGGCAGAAGTTTTTTTTACACAGGATTCGATCCGAGAAGATTTATCTCGTTTCTTTCTTTGTTTTTTTCAGTCAAAGGAAATTTTGTCGTGTTATTGTTGAGATAATAGGGGAGGGTTATATATGTGCACGCGCGATTATTCGATTATGCAAAAGATTAATCGTTTTGTTTGTCGGACGGTGTTCCGGGAAGGATGATGTTACGTAAGGATAATTATTAGATGAAAAAGGAAGTAATAAGGATAATGAACGAGTGATTGGTGAAGCAATTTGGATTTAGAAGCAAATTTAAGAAATTATTCCTCGTTTCTATCTAAATATATATCTTCCTCTTGATATTCGATATTCGATATGCGCGCGTAGCATGTATCGCTTTAACGATACGTCGATTATCCGGGTCACGTGGCTTTGATTGGAATTCGTTGATTGATTTTTCCCTCGGAGAAATCGGTTCACCTCTTTGTATCAGATATTAATAATCGACGTATAAAGCTATAGTATCGAATATCGTACTTTTAAATTTAAGAGAAAAGGAAAAATTTTTCACCTTTGTGTTTAACCCTTAAATCGTAAAGAAAATCGTAAGGTTAAAAAGAATTTGATAAAAATTGAAAATCCTTTTTTCTCGACGATTACAATTTCCCAAACGTTCCACGATATATATATATATATATATATATTTGAAATGCATAAAAATGAATGTTCAATTCTTAAATCATTAAAAAAAAAAAAATTGAAAATCCTTTTTCGAAATGCAATTTTTGAAATGCATAAAAACGAATGTTCAATTCTTAAATCGTTAAAAAAAAAAAATTAAAAATCTTTTTTCGTACACGATCACAATTTCCCAGATGTTTCATGACGAGATATACATATATATATATATATATATATACATTTGAAATGCATAAAAACGCATTTTCCGCGTAAAGTTGTTACGATGAAAAAGGTAATAGCCAGCAGCGATGGGAGGATTTTGTTTGCGGAATTCGAGCCGTGGTCGCGGTTGATTAAATTTCAAACTTTTCCCTCGCGTTAAATGAAATCTCGCCGCTCATTAAGATCAAATAATTGGCGGCCAACGATGGAATCGTCCCGTTGTTTCCTCGAAACATAAAAAATTCGTTCTTGCGGAAGAAGAAGAGGAGGAGGAGGAGGAGGAGGAAGAATCTCTCGTCGAAGTTTGCATTCACTTCTTTAGCCCGGAGGAGATTCTCCACTCTTCCCCCTTCTCATGGATATCTTGATCTGCTTAAAGAGGTGGAGAAACGATCCATTGGAAGGAGAAATAGGTAGGATAACCGCGTTTCGAATAATACTTGTCAGACTCGGACAATTTGTCGGCTGGGCTACTCTGTTCTTCGATTTTCTCAAACCCGTGTTATCCACGCTTATGCTTCCGTTTATGTTTATCCGATTTCCGAATTGTTTTTCGTGGAATACAACGATGGAATACAATGTTCTTCGATTGGAATTTAAAATTTCACAAGTCGTTTCACGCGAACAGTCGAATTCGATTGGTTTTCCACAACATGGCGTCTCTTCAATGTCTCTTCAATCTCGAAAACTAGTTTTTACACTGACATTCTTACCTTTTCGGTGATAAAATATGCTGAAAATCCTCCTTTCGGCCCTGCATTTTTGTTATCACGCGCACGAAAAACACAAACAGCACAGAATCAAACGAATTTTTCTTATAAATAAACCACGAAATACCAACTCTCAAAATATATATAACAATAATGACACGGTTTAGAGTGAAGTTGGCTGGATTAAACGTTCGACTAGCGACGCTCGTGCGAAGAAACGAAACTACTTTTCGAACAACATATATATATATATATATAAGCTAACCAAGAAACGTAGCGCGTATTATATGTCATCAATGCGTTAACATAGACATTACAGCGCATTAGGAGGCAGAAAATATAAGGAAGAAGGAGGGAAATTATTCAGAAACGTTTTAAACACGGTGTAAGAGTAAAAATGAAGGAAAAGGAGGATTTACTGTTCTATTATATTGCCTTTAATATTACCTTAATCTTACATTACCTTAATAATAATATACACGGCTTGGTGCCCGCCCTGTAACAGCCATAACACACCTTAATATCACCCTTTCTTCCTTCCATTATCCCAATTCCTCGTCACCTACATTCCCTTCCCTTTCTAAACCTATCCCCTCCCCACACCGTCTCCGTGTTTCTATACGCTTTCACACGTGTTACCATCCGAAACTAACCTGTCTCCGGCCATTGTTACACGAATTAGAATCCGTCCCCTTTATCCCTCTTGTTGCAAATTAATTTTAACCAATTAAAATATATTGTTTTAAAATATTTATCTCTTCGGAGAAGTGTAAAAAGCGTATTTTAAATTTTCGCTTCGTTGTATCGTTGTGGAATTTATCGTGAAAAAAGATGGACAACAATTATGATAATTCGAAAAAGGAAAATTCGCGATCGCAAGATCAACTTGTCGATTATTATTCAACTCGAAATGATTGAAAAATTCTATAAATTCTCTTTGGATGGAATGTATTTTGTCTAATTTTTTAATTCCGATTATTATTAAATCCTGGCGACGAAAATTTTACGAAAGCGCACGACAAAATTGGTTAAGATGTCGAACGATATTCGGATATTGAATATTTTTTTTCTACAATTTCTTCGTTAATTTTAAAAATATTAAATTCGTTTTTCACTTTATTATTTTAAAATCATATATCAAACGTACGTTTAAAAATTATGAAAAAAAAAATGTAATTAAACTCTTTTGTTCCAACCTTTTCCCATTTTTTTTCAATATGAATATTGAATAATATTGTAAAATTTATTATAAAATTAGACAAAAAGTTTATGCATATTAATCATATAAAAATACGATCTTGAAAGATGCTTAATAACGAAAATTTACAGAAATTTTACACGCGACAGTATACTATTCTTATCGAAAAAGTGCAAATTGTTGAACGAAAAAATAATTGTATTTTTTCATAATATCTAAAGATATGGGAAAAAAGAAAAGAAGAAACATTCTACATTTATTCCATTACACTTTTCAATTTCCGTAATTATATTTGCACTATTCGTACATTTCTGAAAAAGTGATTCTACTTTTTCAATATTTAAAGATACGTTGAATGTACGATACCATATGACCTAATATTTCACGTACAATTCCAAAAAGAACTTTCCACATTTATCCTTCATCCATCCTGCTACATTATTCAATTTCCATAATTACATTTGCACTATTCGTGAACTTTTCTGAAAAACTGGAAAAATTTTACAGTGTAAACGATACACGGATATCCTTGCCGAAAAAATAATTATCCTCGTCTGTTTAAAAGGTCTACGTTCAACTCTAATATTACACTTACAATTTCCTAAGGAAATTGGCGAAAGAAAGAAACTTTCTATATTTATTCCATTCTACCGTAATACTTTAACACGAAGAGTTAAATTTTATATAGTGTACAGACGATACGCTGTTCTCATCGAAAAACTTTTTCCACATTCAAACGTATGCTCATCTTGCACGATTACCCAATATATCACCCACCTTAAATTCCTAAAAGAAATCAACGAGAGAGAAAAAAGAGAAAAGAATTTGTTCCATCGAATTGGAAGCGACTACTATTCAAACATTCGGCAATTCAATTTGCGATACAATTTCGCATTTATTCCCACGCGAGCATAATTTTTCGCGCGGCCCACCTTTCCGTTGTCCGTCGCCTCGCTGTAAATCGAGCGCGCCTTCCTTACGAACGTACCGTGCTCCCGACTCGAGCTAATTGAACCCACGTTGCCGCATCCGATTACCATTCGCTTGGTGTATACACGAGGGGGAAGGGAGGGGAGGGGCGTGTACACACGTCACGAGATCTCGACGGGTAGCGCGGCGAACATCGTTCGTTGTCCAGTCAGGAAATGAAAGCCGCTCGATCGGTAAAGCAAATTTCTTCCCGTTTCTGCCGATGATCGATGCGTGTAAATCGCGAGAAAAACCGTGGCGCGGTTTGTTCTCGTGTCGCCTCCTTCCTTCGAGAGGGGGAATATTTTATGGAGACGAGGAGAAGTGATGGATTGTGAAGAGGGATTAAGAAAGGGTTTGTTGGAGAATCGATGGATAGATATTGTTCCAGAATTTTTTTTTTTTTCCGAGCCGAGGGATGAACAAGTTTTAAGAAAATTAGGGGTAATATTTTTGCAAACTTCGATGGGATTTTTGAAAAATTGTGGAACACGTACACAATACGCGGTGGAGGAAGACATCGTCAGCAGGAATTCCTCTCGCTCTCGTCGTAAAACGGGGCGTAAAAGTGCGTGCAGAGTCAACTTGCATGCACGTTTTCTTAACAACGTACTTCGAACCAGCATACTTTTAGATTTTCGCTTCACAAAGAATCTTATATTTCGTTTCTCTCTTCCCCTTTCAAAAGGGAAGAAGAAATATTCTTTTGACGTGCGCGCGCGCGCGAGAGAGAGAGAGAGAACTTTCTACTCTTTCTTCTCCAGCCAACTCGAGGAGGAGGAAAAAAAAAAAAAAAAAAACTCTCGAGGACGTTCAGACGAGATATCATAATACGCTCGTTGCGACGATCGAGACAATGGAAATGTCTGGACGGATGGATGGAAGGATCCCGAAATTATCAACGTCGAATAACCGGGATTCGGCGATTATTATTAACACGACAACGTTTACAGGGGTAGTTCACCCCTATCCTATTGAAATATTCATCGTCGCATGCATTACGGAACATTACGACGGAGCCCCCTCCCCTCCACCCATCCCCTTATACGTTAAATAATTCATTATCTTATAATATTGGAATAGAGAGCTTGGTGCGCGTCGTATATATCGTGTCGTCGTATCGTCGCGTTTACGGCTCGATGTTTATTCAAATCCTCGTTTCGAATCGGTTTTCACGGATAAGAAACAATCTGCCGTTCTCTTTGTAATGTGATATAATCCAGCGATACGGGATCGATCGGGATCCGCTAATAAACGATTAAACGGTTTCCATTCGAATACGGAAACATGGGATATTTCAGAATTGCAAATCTGTCGAATAATGGCGGTAAGGAATGGTGGAAAGTGAATTATCCGTGGATTCGTGGATGCGTGTTAAAATAATAGTTTTTAGTAGATGAATAGCAAGAGTGTAATGTTTTTATCTAGTTTGAAATTTTATTCGATCAAAGATTGTGAAAAAAATGAGGACGCGACCATTAAAAATATATTTGTGTTTTATTATGGATAAATAAATCGATAAATAAATGAACGAAGAGATAAATAAATAAATAAATAAATAAATGATAATATAAATTGATAATGAACGCAATAAATAAATGAAAAAATAAATAAATAATTTGATTGAAAAGTAACAAAGAAATAAATAAAAATATAAATTAATAAATAAATCGATAAATAAATGTGTAAATAACTAAGTATAGTAACGAATAAATAAATAAATTTGTAGAGAAAAATAAAATAAATAATATATATATATTAATATTAAATGTTATAAAATAATAATAAATAAATGATTAAAAATTACTTTGTTAAAATTTACTTAAAACTTTATAGCTCCGACCTCTTTGTAAGTTCGTTAAAGACTGACTGTTTCTCACGACTTGTCTTGTATTTATATATAGGGCAACTGTTACGAAGTTCGCCGAAAATAAACGTACTTTCCCGATCGCGTTAAAATTGATTTTTCATACACACCGATCAATAATTTAGCAATTTTTATTATTAATTTATGATTCTATACGATATATTTTGTTGTATTAAACGCAACAACGATCGATATATTTTTACAAATTAAAATTTTACGTTATTACTTTTCGATTTATAAAATGACCAACAATAATATTTTCATGCCAAATTAAACGTGCAAAAACGCGTAAAAAAAAGAATCTCTATATTTTTTTCAATAAATAAGAATTTATAGATTCTTCGATATTTTATATTTAAAATTTTTCTATTTTTTCTTTTTTCACATAGATAAAACAATTTTCTTCAAATTTAAAATTATTACAAGTATTAATGGGATAGAACTACAAGATGTTCTGCAATAATACTTTATTTACGACTTTACATTAAAATTTAATTTCGATTCGCTATACTCGATATACCGCTTTTGCTTTATTTACTTATTTTTACTCTACTACACGAGAGAAACGTCTCAGAATTTTCTCATTTCTCTAGAAATGCCCCGATATTATCCAATCTCGTCCAATGTTATGTATCCACAACATCGGGAATATGTAACTAAAATGATAACTCTCGAGTTCTCTCTCGAGGTCATAGGACAAGGAAATGCATACTTCGACGACACGTATGTATACCTCCTCGTCTGTGGTTTTATTCACGGGGCAAAATGAGGTTCGTTGCATCATTCTCGAATCGCAATCCATCACGCCTGTGTATCACATTCATTCCGTGATCTCGAAGATTGAGATTGTCCCCAAGCTTTCGAATCGATTCGTTAAAAAAAAAAAAATCTATCCCCGACAATGTTGTATCATCGAATCACTCGTATCGGGAATATGGAATTAACGTTTGCAAAAATAATGCATAGATTGCTCTCTCGATCCAAACGATCCTTTCTCTCGTTTAATTTGTACGACGAATGGATTTTATTATTATTATTATTTTTTCGATCGATATTCGAAACATTTGAATTCGTTCCAAAATTCTTTACCGAACCGTAATTTCGCTCCTCGATTCCGCTTTTTTGTTCGAATAAGTTTTATTAATTGGATCACTGTTGCATTATATACAATTCTATTTATTTTATTATTATTATTTTTTTTTTAATACGTAATATATTCATTTCATTTTGATCGCACAATCGCTATTTGTAAATACGATTAACGAGCAATAATTCCTCCCTGTTTTCCGAACGATCCACAATTGATCTTTTTTTTTTTTTTTTTTTAATCCTCGATTCACTTTTCAACCGGAACAATTACTTTTATTCGATTAATAATTTGCTCGTTCCAATCGTGTCTCGATCTTTTTTTTTTTTTAAATAAATAATTCACGACTCCTCGCCTTTGACCGAATCGAGTCGAAGTTCGAATTCGCGGCGATCGAAGGATCGAAAATTTTCGAGGGGAGCAGGATCGGTGTGAAAATTCGGTATCGAGCCACTGCCTTTCGCCGTAGCCTTCGAGCCACCGTCCAATTAAACGCCACGAAACGTTCCTCTTTGCAAGGAATTTCGAAGGGAACGGAAATGAACAAACGTTTCGACGCAAACAGAGATCGAACGAGAACCCCTTCGTTCGTCTGTAACGAAAAATATCAAATTTTACGTCGTTTTTCCTCCTCTGCAATTTCGTATTTTACATTATATATATATATATATATATATATATATATATACACACACACATACACACACTATTCTTTTC